CCCTCCCCCCCCCCGCCCTGCCCGGCCTGGCCGCCGGCTCCGGCGAGGGCAAAGCGGGGGGGTTGACCACCAGCCCCGGTTCCGTACCCCTGGACTCCGCTTCGGACCTCACCAGCCGCTCGTCCACCCTCTCCTCCGGCTCCATCTCCCTCTCCCCCAAACTGGGCGCAGACAAGGAGGCGGCCACCAGCGAACTGCAAAACATCCAGCGCCTGGTCAGTGGGCTCGATCCCAAGCAGGACAGATCCCGCAGCGGCTCCCCGTAACCCCCCCGGCCTCCGGGAGCTCATTTCAAATCAGTCTCGCAGTGCACTTTGTTTGAAAGAAACCACATCCTCCACCCGCGAGTTGTTTTTTTTTACCCCCCTCTTTTATTTTGGTTTTTCTTCCCCTTTCTTTTTCTTCTTCTTTTTTTTAAAATATAAGATCCCCCGGCGTTGTGTGCGCGCTTATCGGCAAGAAGAGGTGTCTGGCGAAGCAGGAGGGGTGAGGGTAGGGAGAGGGTCGGGGATGGGGGAGCAGAGCCGAGGTGGGAGAGCTGGGTCGGAGGCTGCTCGCAGGGAGCAGGCTGGCCCGGCCAGGGCACCGGCGGGGCGGGGGGGGCCCCCCTTTCCTCTTTTTTTTTTTTTTTTTTTTTTTTAACTGTGTAAAAAGAAAAAAAAAACACCCCAGAAAAAAAGAAAAAACCACCTAAAAGCAAAAATAAAAAAAAAACCCAAACGCAAATGTATGAATAAAAATTAAGTAAGAAAAGTGATTTTTTTTTTCTTTCCGAAAGAAAAGTGTGTAAGTAACTCGCATATCGGTTCTTCAACAGTTGTTTCCTGGGCGGGTTGTTACCGCCAACCCCCTTAGTGGATATTAAGGGAAGCTGTGTGTTTAAAATATTATTGTGATGTCTGAGAGCCAGCCGGTGGCTTTTTTTGCATGTTCCATAGTAGTCTGCTTTTTTGGGGGGGGGTATTTTTTTATTTCGGTGGGGTTTTCTTGTTTATTTTTCATGCTCGTTTCAAATCCCAGGGAAAAAAAAAATTGTGAATAATAATAATAAAAACAAAAATAAGACCCTCGTCCCTCTACCTTAAACATCCTCCCTGTAGCAACAACAGTAAGTGTAGTTGGAAAGAAAAAAAAAAAGTGAATTTATTTTATCTAAAAACCTCTGTAGCTTGACTGTAGGTTTATCACAGCTTTCCCTCTTTAATTGTATATGCAATAACAAGGTTTAAACATACTGAGAAGAAGAAAAGAGCGGACACTATTATTAAAACAAAGTATTTATGTAATTATTTGATAACTCTTGTAAATACGTGGAATATGAATACTCGAAATTAAACTTTAATTTATTGACATTGTACATATCTCTGTAAATACGACTGCAGCTGTCTTTTTTTCCCCCCCCTTCTGTTTTTATTTTTAGTCGTTTTCATTTCAAGTTCGTAATTCCTTTAAGCGTCCACCCCGACCCAGAGGAGAAAAACCCCCGTTTCTGAGGGCTCACTTTTTAAATCGGAGTTCACCCCAGAAAAGCTGCCCTCCTCCTTTTGGAAAGGAGCCGAATGCAAAAGGCAAAGCAGAAACAAAATTAATCAAAGAGACCTTTAAATAAAAAAAATAAAAGAGAGAAAAAGCAATGTGCCATGGTGGCTTTTAATCCTCGATTTCTTCAAAGCGCTACTTTCCGTATAAAACGGCAACAACAACAAAATTATATACGTTAATACACGACAACAGGCTTCTCCAGTGGCTTGAGAGAAAAAAAAAAAAAGATGAAGATTCTAGGATTTTCTTTACTTTGTATTATTTTTTCCCCATTTCCTTGGTGTGTCAAAAAAAAAAACCCAACCCCACGATGGAGTTTTACTACTGTGCTCCTTGTTGTCTTTGTTTGAGTGAGTGCATATTTTCTTGGCTTGAAAGTCAGGTGCTCAGAGCTGGTTCAAAGAAAAACAAAAAATATGAAGGTATATTTTGTGTTATATAAATGTTGAGAAGTTCTTGATTTTTTTTTTCCTGTAATATTTTTTTTCCCCCCTTTTAAAAGTCACTGAAGTTTCAATAAATTTTTATTGAAATGTCTTGGGCGTACTGTGAAATGCCTTCACCCCAACCCTCCCGAAAGCGCCTGGGAGGATGGAGGGGTTGAAAGATATATATCCCTTTCTCCTCCACCCCCCATCCCCTTCCCAATATTAAGATATTTCTCCTGGAAGGAGCCAGCAGGAACCAGTCGGGATGGTGTGGTTTGAATTGTTGGTGGGGAAGTACGAGTTTTAAGCGAGCTGTTTAATGTACTTTTTCCGTCTTTATCCCTCTCCCTTTTAAAGTCGATCCAGAGGCTACTAAGTCACCTCTTTTAATGGAAGAATATTAAGTGGCGTTTGAAAAGTTAATGAGAAAGGCTCAGCTATGCTTTTATCTGTCATAAATTAATAACGCAAAAGTGAAGAATTAGAGAATAGATCGGTTAAATTTTAATGCAGAGCCCTCCTCCGAAGGTTGCAGGTAAAGTGCTCGGGAGCTGATGGTGTTGCTGGGCTCGTTTTCCCTCCCGTCCGGGCAGAGGAATTGGCTTTTCCAGTTAGTTATCACCTGGAAATACATGGGTTTGGTTGTGTTCGCCCGCCCCCCCCCCCCCCCCCCCGC